AACCAAGCAACTTAGTGAGACTCTGTCTCAAAATAAAATGGGCTGGGGATGTAGCTTAGTGCATAGGCACTGGGTTTTATCCCCAGTACTGCCAAAGAAATGTAGATAACATAATTATTACTCATAATAACAAAAATCAAAAGTATTAATAATAAGAAATTGAATCACAAATTATCTTAATCTCATATGAATATATCCCAAAATCACAAAAGCAAGAATTATAGAAAAATTAATTATAAAATCAAACCCAACCACATTACAAAATGCTTCCCCAGTTCCCAAATCTTGTAATGGAGTTTCTCACCTAGTTCTTTCATATAATCCTCAAAGTTTTCACTGGAGACCAGTTTCCAGGTTCCCAAGAAGGGCTCCACCATCCTGGATAGCTTGCTCCAAAGTGGCACTCACAGCTAAAAATCCAAGAGAAGTGGATTCCTCACAGCACCACTGGAGGACCATTTAAAGGACGTCCTCATCATGTGATCCTCGTGATGTGGTGAATGTGCAGCAGCAGGACTAGGATACTGGGCACCAGCATTTGACTCATTTTATTTACCTCCAAATTAAGAGACAGAAAATTGACATGTCAAGTTTAATTCAGGTCAGTGATTATAGTGTCTCGCAAAGAGATTTACACCCAAGAGTCACCCGGTAAGTGTTATGTGGAATGGAGACAGTTTTCAATAGAGCCATAAATGCTGAGTTACCCTGAAGGAACAACCTGATGAGTGTCTGACCGGGATGTTTTCCCAACTACGCAAGGGTAGCCTTGCTTGGTCCACCTCAGCTGTTTTTTTGTTTGGCCAAGTCATGGTACCAGACCATTAAAATAATATCTTCCCTTCCCTTCCTTTCAGGGTTGATGTATTGATACTAGTTAATGTCACTGAAATACCTATGGTTGCTGGGAGTGGTATGTAGAGTATAATTATTATTATCATTATTGTTAATTAAGGGTAATTGAGGACTGGAAAGAAAGGTGACAATTATTATTCAGTAGTGATTCATGATTTAAATCTTAAAAATGGAGGCATAGCCAATGCCTGGAAAATTCATTTTTCAGGTTTACAAAGTATTTCGATATTAAACAACACCCTTTGAAATTGTGAGGGTAAAGTTTTGGAAGTTTAGGAAGGAAAACAATCATGTTTGAAGGGCTGGGGATTTAGCTCAGTGGTTCCACCGCCTGCCCTGCAAGTGCAAGGTCCCGAGTTCGATCCCCGGTACCAAAAAATAAATAAATAAAAGCTGTGTCTAAAAAAAAAAAAATCATGTTTGACATCTGCATTCTAAAAGAAACACAAATGAAGTAAATAAATTGAACCTCTGTGTGATTCCTTCTGAAGCCATCTTCTGCATCCTAACTAAGGAGAGTGGACTTCTCAAGTACCAGGCTTACTAAAAAGGATTGGATTGAAGTAATGTGGATTTACACCCCAGTTTCAAACTTCAGTTGTTTTGAAGGTGCTGGAAAGATACAAGGTCAGGTACCAAGACAAAAAGAGTCATACTTTTTACTGACATTGTGTCAAATATTTCTTCAACTGAAGGAAATACCTATTCAAACCACCTCTTTATGGACAAAGCAAATAAAAGGTTACTGTTTTGACATCACAGAGTAATTAGTTGGATGAAGAATTTCTTTTGAAGAAAACATATAAAGAGGGACTTTTAAATTTTATGTCTCTGACATTTATAGCTAAGTAGATGCACATTGAGGCCATACTCTTAAGTGAAATTAATAGGACACACATGCATAAATACCAAATGGTTTCTCTGGTGTGAGAAACTAAAAATGTAAATAAGGTTCAAAATGTATAATTGATATCGTGAAATAGGAAGAAAAAGTCTAAAGGAGCAGGGGAAGTGGGAGGGGCAGGGGAAAAGAAAGAAAGTAAAGGAAAAAATATGAGAAAAGGAAAAAAATGGAAACAAAGTCTTCGTAAATAGGGAAGGGTGTAGGGGGGAAGGGAGGGCAGGGGAATGGGGAAAAAATAAGAACCAAGATGCATCATGGAAAGGTACAAGATCCCAATGATGAATGTAACTGTATTGTATACCTAAAATGTACCAATAAACTTAATAGGGAAAAATTGACCAGTCACTAAGCTACCTGGAGGGCAAAATAAGGTAAGAAAAAACCCATATCATGCAGTTATACTACCTTTAACGGATGTCTATCAGAGAATATGGATCACAGCATTGCAAAAGATATCTTATGACAGAATTCAGCTGCCTTGAGAGCTATTCTCTGAGCACATCAAGAAAGAACAATTATCTCTCATGATCTCTATATTACTAGCTGTGCTTGCCACATCATAAATGTTAAGTAAATATTTTATAAATGAATGATGAAAGAAATAAATAGTGTTTATTGTTCTCCTCAGTGTTTCTTATCGCCCTAACAGTCATTCAGTCAGGGTTTTATACAGTCTCCTCTCCTCTCCTGGTCCTATGACAGGCCTTTCATTCTCAGTATTAACCCAGATTGAGAGTCCTACTTCATGTTTTTGTGAAGAAAACAAATTCTTATTTCTCCACCTCTCTGGCCTTTATGTAATAATGTTATACATAGGCTAGGTACTCAGGGCTGGGCATAGTGAAGTATCTCTGTAATCCCAGCACTCTAGGAGGCTGAGGCATGAGGGAATCACAAGTTCAAACTCAGCACGGGTAACTTTGTAAAACAGTGTCTCAAAATGAAATGTAGTAGAAATGTAGCTCAGTATAAAGACCCTGGATTCAACCCTAGTACCACCCCCCCCACACACACACAGAGTACTCAGAAAATGAACAGCTCTGGACTGATTTTTTCAGAACATTCTAAATTTGCTTATTTTATTGGTACATGATTGCAGTACATAGCAATTATATTCCTCATGGGGAGTTGGTACATGTACATGACACATCTTAATTCTTTTTTTGTCCTCTTCCTTTCTTTATCTCTTAATCCCCTTTTCTTTTGCAAAAGATCTCCCTACTTCCTATTACCTATCTTTTATTTTACTCTACTTGTTTTTTGGGTTTTTCATGTAAGAGGGACCATGCAATATTTAAATTTGTGTGTCTGATTTATTTCACTGAACATTATGGTCTTAAAGTGCATCGATTTTCCTACAAATTTACTCATTTATAATGTAGAGTAGTATTTCATTGTGTGTAAATACCACATTTTCTTTATTCATTCATCTGTTGATGGACATGGGCCTCTTCCAAGATTTAGCTGTTGTGAATTGTGCTGCTATAAATGTGAGTATGCATGTATGACTGAAATAGGATGTCTTTAGCTCTTTTTAAAATTTTTTATTTTATGCTTAAAGACAAAAATCACAAACAAAATGATATCAACTATAATATAAACTTTATTTTTAAATTTTTAGTTAATATGTATTAACTATAGCTATTAATGAGGTTCTGTGTGATATTTTAGTACCCGCACAGCATGCACTGATCAAATCCAGCCTTCCTGCATCCCTTCCCCACCTGCCCAGCTTCTAGTAATCACTATTTTACATTCACATAGAGTTTCTTTCCCTTTTCTCAAACTTCCACATATGAGCAAGAATGCGCAGTCCTTGTCTCTCTGTGTTTGGCTTATTTCACGTAACTTAATGTCATCTTGCAGTCTACACTGTAACAGAGTTTTGTCTTACTATGAAATCTAAACATGTGATTGAGAAATTTCAACCTATGTATGCAAAACCATACTAATTAATATGAAGAGGTGCTTCATAACTTCCACAAGAGCCAGGAAAAATGCACATACAACGCACATATCACATACATACTACCAAGAAGCCTTATTATCATTTTTTGTATGTTTCTATATTGAGATTCCAAGGAGATTTTGTCTGAATGAAAAGTTCCCCTAGTTAAAAAGAGTTAAATTTTTGTTTGTTTTATTTTTTTGAGACAAGGTCTCGCTTTGTAGTTCAGCCTGGACTTGAACTCACTATGTAGCCCAGGCTGGCCACAAACTCACATCAACCCTCCTGCCTTAGCCTCCCAAATGTTAGGATTACAGATATGCCCCACCAGACCTGGCAAGAAAAATAAAATTTTTGTAACTACTACTACAATCATGCTTGAATCCTTATTCATGAACAAATCTGTCACTACTTTTCTGGAACAAATATTATGGAATTATTTGCACTGAATTCTGCAGAGATTTTGGAGACAACCTCATAGTGAGTTTTTGCCCCAACGGTTCATGTACTGGAAATTTGGTCCTCAGTGTGCCTGTGTTTAGGTGTGGGAATCTTCCAGTGGTGGCCATTGGAAGGTGATTAGCTCAGTAGAAGACACTGCCCACAGAAGTGATTAGTGGGGCCCTAGTTAGATGCCATAAATGAATAAAATGCCCCTCTCCTGCCCTCTGGCTTCTGGTCTCTTCATGTGATCTTTCCCCCTGGAACACACTCCCCTCCCTAGTACCACCCACCATGAGGTTCTCACTAGAGGTCAAATCTATGTGGTTGCTTAATTTTGGGCTTCCGACCTCTAAAACTGTGATCTGTGAAACTGTGAAAATATTTTTTTTCTTTTTAAAGTATTTAATCTCAGGTATTTTGTTATATCAATGGAAAACTAACACACCTGGTTTGCCATTAATTTGTGGACTCAAATTTATATAGAAATGTTTTCTACAACATGTATTGTATGTACAGGTCTCTTGGAATATTCTCACACAGGCAAGTACATGTGAACATTTGGACCAGAAGGCTGTGGGCAATTTTCCTATGTTTAAAACTGCTTTACTGCCTGTAAGATAGTTTGTTGGTTGTAGATGTGTGAAAGTGGGACTAAATGTTTTGTCATGGCACATACTTATCTCCTACCTAGGAAAACAAAAAACATCCATAGATTTTAATTTTTTACCTTCCACTATTATGAAAGATCTTGTTACTTATATCAAAAACAAAGCAAAAATGCAGATTTTCTATTTCTTTCACTCACTTATATAAAATTATCCTACACAATAAAAATGTAATCACACCACATTCTAAATCTAAAAAGTTTTATTTAACCAACACAACCATATTCAATAAAATCCAAGTTAGGGGAAAATTGCCTGCTAATCAGGGGAAAACAATAATTATCTTTTTGAACAGTACATCCAACAAAATGTTGTAGAGTTTGATGCAAACTTGAGTCCAGGTCTGTGTCCTTTGCCTTATGCTTTCTCATAAATCCTGGTAGCAGTGACATTATTCATGACACAGTCCTAAATGCACAGGCCAAAAAAAGAAGAAAGAATTGTTGGTTACCATGGTACTACACAATGGGTTAAATTATTATATTTCTCAGTGTTGGAAAGAAAATGGTATTTATTTAAAAGACATTTGTTTTTGAATATATATACATATATATATATATATACACATATATATGTATATATATGGAGATACAAAGACCAAATACAGGTCTTCCTCTAGGGAGCCTTATAATCTATCTGGTAAGTGAATAAGACAAGCAGAAACATACAGCACACTGCACTGGGCCCTGAGAGGAGGCAAGGAATGCCTAGGCTGGGAGCCAGCAGGTCTGGGATGAGCTCTAAAGCACAAAAACAGCAGAGAAGGTAGCTCTGTGATAGAATGTTTCCCTGGCAAGTGGGAGACCCTGGGTGCAATCCCTAACACCAAAAAGCAAACGAAGAGTCCCCAAACAAAAACAAAAAACAAACCATGAACAACAATTGACAGAGTGGAAACATAGTCCCAGTAAAAATTACCCTTCTGTTCTACATAAGAAAGGTATTATTTTCCTATCCAAGTACTAACTAGTCTACCCCACTTAGCTTCAGAGACCAACAGTTCAGAGGAGCAGTATTCTGAAGCAAAATCATGATCTTCAGATAACCTAACAGTGGCATCTAGAAAATACTCACCAGCACCAACTTATCACCCTCTCGTCTTCTTGTGATGGTGGTCGATTTTCCATCCCATTTCTGCACTTGTACCAGGGCGCCCGCCTCTAAGGTTATGATGCTCTGCAGGCACAATAAAAAGTGATTGCAATTCATATTTGAAGGCAGAAAACAAAATTTAAACTGCAATACCTTTGTTCAAAGGAATACTTTAAGATCACTAGCTATTCTAAATCACAAGAGTATAATGAAGCAAACAAGTGAGTCTTCAAAACAACAGCATACGACTTATATATATTATGACTGGAATATACAAAAATATTGTGGTAAATGCAGATTATAAATTTATAGGGAGACAGTAGTATTATAGATGATTTTTTTCTTTCACTCATAAACTTTCTCTAACATTGTTTTATTACTTCACTTCTAATACTCTATGTATTGTATGACATACAAATTATGTTAATAAATTTTAAAACTACAGGAACAATTTAATAAAAAAGGGGGGACTTGACTACATATTAGAGGCAATGTGATTTGGGTATAGGAGTTCAGGGTCTCTGGCCTATGACAGAAATTTTTCCCCTGTTACTATGAACCTGTTATTATGAAGTAGTTTCTTACAGGCAGTAGGAATTTAATAAACAGATGTTCACTTTGCATTGATTCCTTATTCTTTACCTTGACTTTCCTGTCATCTGCGGTGACTTCATCAAACTCCTGGTCCAGTTTAAAGGACATCTCAGTATTTTTAAAAGTACTTTCTGTTCTAATGGTGACCACATCTCCATTGATACTGATGATCATGCAGGGTTTGGCCATGCCAGCCACTTTCCTGGTGGCAAAACCCACTCCTTGAGTTAGGAAAAAAAAAAGTCAGGTTTACATTTTCTCTCACATCTTTATCAAAGTCAGAGAAATGTGTGTGCCTATACATCTGTGGGCATGTGTGGTAAGAGGAGAAAAATACCAGTAACTTTCTTCAGGCCTCATTTAAGAGCTTCTTTGGATAAGTACATCATGAAAACATTTAAGAGAAACTTGAAAACTTGATATGCAATATGTAGTATGTAGGTTTAGTCTTTAAACTTCCCCTTCTCTAGTCCTGAATACAACTCCTCAGGAGACCATTGCTAATTTTCAGTAAAAATACTTACAGAGATTAAGTTTTCTAGTACATAGATATTTTTCCACTATCATTTTTCTCTATAAACTATTCGAGGCAAACTTGACCATTTCATTCCTTCTTTGATATTTAAAAATTTACAGTTAGAAGCAGGATTTTGGAGCTAATATAGTTATTCAGTTAGAAGATTATCTGAGTGTATAAAAATCATATTTCGTAACAGTTACTGCCAAGTGTAGGTTTCTGAGCTTCTTTCTCAAATTATTGTACCATGAAATAAAGATTTTGATCTCTCCCAAAAGGAAAAAATGTTTTCTATATTTATACTATATTAGAATGATGATAGCATTCCCAATAAACTAATATTTAATATTTCCTATATTAAAGAAGAATGAGGTATCAATTGTGAAGACTTTGAAATTTAAGAAATCAATATGTCTTACTTTAGAAGAGTTTGGAAACCAATATTTGGATTTCCAATCATCTAAATTGCAAACTCCTGTTGTCTTAAAAGAGGAATATATTTTTTAGTGTAAGGTATGGGAGGAACAACTTACAACTACACACAAACAGTGGTAACTTGTCCCTCCATATGTTATACAGAATTTATGACAGTCATAGACATGCTGAATTTTGTTCACACACACATCTAGGCTATTTGACTGAAGGGGACTAAAGGTTAAAAATAGAGAAGAAGTGAGAGAGAAATTGCAAATGAAGCAATGTTGTGGCTCTGATTTAGTTTTCTGTTTGAAAAGTGGCCACAGTGGGAAGATAATACATTGCCTTCATATAGTCTCGGCTCTATTACAAAATACAACAGTGAATATCTGCAGCAGACCAGTGTAGACAGTGGATACAACATGAAGTGTGATTCCAGAATGGCTTAGCTTGGGAAAAAGCATACTCTCTGCTTGCTTAATTGACTGCCCACTCATTCTTCCTTAGGGGAGCCAGTTACATTCAGGAGGTATCATATTGCCTTTATTAGTCTCTGTTAACCAAAGCCTCGCATTTCTGTAGTAGCATGTATTAATCGGTGTATGGAATCAACTATTCTGGAAAGTTATGTCTTTCTTGTGCAGAAATTCCTGATTTCTTTTTCCACTATAGTCAAGAAAATAGTAGTTACAGATAAATAAAAAATGTATCCTGTATATTGAGAAGTTTAATTCTTTTGAGATTTAGGAAATTAAATTCTAAATTCTAACAAAGATAATTGTGTAAAACATCTCCCCAGTTTGCTAATCGTGGATCTGACTTTGTCCTGTGTGAGGGTTGAGATAGAAAGGGCTTTCAAAGTAGAAGCCAGATAAGAAGTTGCCTCTCTACCTCCATTGCTTTGGTGACATAATTATTTGGCATTCACACAATAACACGCCGACAATGTTAGCAGAGTCTAAAAATTGCAAGCCTCTATTATAAGAAAAGGTAATACGTCACATGTCACAGTCTCCTTATATATGTTACATATTTAGCATTACTCAATACTTCTATAGTACTTTGTGTCATTTTTAGTCAAAGAACTATTTAAGCCCCTTAAGGAATATATTGTCTGAAATTAAGATTTTGTTTGCCATAGAACAACCACACATTTTGATGGATTGATATTGAGAAAAGAAAAAAGATCTGTTAACATGCATTTACCAGAAAAAAAAAAAGCCAAGATGAGAAATAGAGTAGCTTCAGTTTTTGCATGCTACAAATAAATATGCTTTCTTTTTCAAGTTATTGTGTATTTTGTATGTGAAGGGGGATGTAAAGGAAACAAGATGAAAGAAACAAGTGAACCAATTAAAATAATATCTTGCAATTAAAGTAAAATCTTGTCATTACATAGATGAAAAAAATTTCATTTAGATCCTTTTTAATACTGGTTCATCTTTAGGAAGCATTAGTTGTACCTTTTGTTCAGAATGTTTCCAGGAATAGATTCTTACCTGCTGCTTCTGCAGCCTCTGTATAAAAAACGGCATTGTCATTTCTGGCCAATGCATCCAGGGTAAAAATCCAGCTATAAGGCTTTTCCTCCCAGAGAAAAATGTACAAACTCAGTCCCCCCAAAATGCATTTTCTTACCCACTTCTTTCATGTAATCATCAAAGTTTTCACTGGAGGTGAGTTTCCAGGTGCCTACAAATGCCTCACACATTCTGTGAGCTTTCTAGGATTATTCTTTCAGGTGAGAAAGAGGCTGCAGGTTTCAGGAAGATGTTGTAGCCCTCTTGAGTCCAGATAACCCTTCTTTTAAAGACACCCAGAACATGTGACGGTAGGAGCAACCAATTGAGAAAGATATCAGATCATTTCCTTCATTACCAGCCTCTGTATTTTGTTCTTTTGAGTCATGTTTTTAATAGAAATTTCTCAACTTTGGTCCTCCCTGGCAAATGGTCACTGGACTTGGAGTACAAATTATTTTTAACCACAAACAGAATATTTTAAACATTCCCAATTTGACCGTGTAATGCTCAGTGGCTTGAACTTCCTGCTATTATTTTCATATATATGTATCCATTGTAGAGTGGGATAATTATCTTAGAATGAGTTTTGACCCTTAATTGCATAAACATTTGTTTTATTACTATTGCAATTATGTAGTTCATTTTAATTGAGGAACATAAGAACTACCTTGGAGATCCTTAAATAATTGCAAAGAATTCTTAAATAATTGTCTCTCTGGGCCAGTACTGTCTCAGGAATTACCTGGTATTAAAACAAAATACATAATGCATTTAAACTTTTTGGAGGAAATGAGAGTATTTTGTCTGACAATTTTTAAGTTGAAGAGGAAATGTACTCCTCTCTGGATAATAAGAAATAGAGACAAACCCATAACGGGTTTTCACTGCATGTTTGTAGTAGGTTAGATAAGGTTTCATGTCCAGGCTCCCTTGTCGTTTGGAGCAAAGTTCACTTAAAGCATTCTTATTACCCATGTTTTAAAGTTTGTTAGAAACCTTAACAAGGAATTTATGCATATTTTGACTCTATCTCCCCATGAATTGGTGAGAACATTTAATATAAAAATTATTTTACATTTTCTATCCTAGGTTTAAGAGGCAAAGTCAAAGGTTATCCTGTGTAAGTTTGAGTATCATTCATTGTATATATTCACAGTGACTGCTAATGATCATGGGAGATTCTTTGACTTCAAAATGGTGACAGTTTTGAAGAGTGAGTAACATATAGCAGGGAGATGGCTAATTACAGACTTGAAGCCAGTTGTGTATCTTTTTCACTTTCCCTCTTACTCATAAGATTCTTCACACATAGTACAATGGGTGTAAGTAGGGACCATTGAAGAGCTGGCAGGACACCTTCTGAACATAAACTGTAACCTATTTTGCCTTATTTAATGAGCTAACCAAAATTATGAACTGCCTGTCAGTAAAAAGTGGAAACATCAACTAGGAAATCCAAAGGAATGTATAGACTCTCCATTAATCTGTGCTCCTACTTCTAGAAATCCTAGAACCTTCAAATTAATAAACAAAGTAGTTTTTAATCACAATCTTTGTAAACGTGGAACTGGATTTAAGAAACATGAGATTTCAGTTCAATTCTCCCCCAGAGCCATAATCCTTTATGATCCCACAGCACCCTGTCCATCACTGACTGCCTGTGATGTTTCTGACTCTAGCCTATGAGCTTCTTGAAAGATGAACTCTACTTCCAGAGTATTTCTGGCAAACAGTAGGCAAAGTTTCTGTTCTACAATAGACACTTAAAGAAATGTTGAAGTAGAGCATGATGGCACATGCCTGTAATCCCAGCACACTGGGAGCCTGAAGCAGGGATTGCAGGCTAGAAGCCACCCTGGGCAACTTAGTGACTTAGCAAGATCCTGTCTCAAAACAAAAAGTAAATAAAGGGCTGATAGGAATGTAGCTCAGTGTAAAGGCCCTGGGTTCAAGTTCCAGTACCACAAAAAGAGGAGGAGGAGGAGGAGGAGGTGGAGGAGGAGGAGGAGGAGGAGGAGGAGGAGGAGGAGGAGGAGGAGGAGGAGGAGGAGGAGGAGGAGGAGGAGGAGGAGGAAGAGGAGGAGGAGGAAGGAGGAGGAGGAAGAAAGGGGGAAGGGGGAGGGGAAGGAAGATGGAGGGTGGGAGGGGGAGGAGGAGGGAGGAGGAAAGGAAGAAGGAGGAGGAAGACGGGGAGGAGAGAAAGTAAAAATGTCTGAGAGTGAAGAAAATGGAGGAAGTTAGGAAAGAAAAGGAATAAAAAAGAAAAAGAATAAAAGAAAGAGAAAGGGAAAAGGAGATAACACACACTTAGGGTGAACATGGGTACATGAAGTTGCAGAAAATATGAGACCCCTGTGCTGAAATTAAAACCCAGATGGTGGCAGATGCCCCAGTAGGCACTAACTGTGATTTGATGCTGCTAAAGTGAAAGAACAGGAGTAGTTCCTCCAGAAACAATTTTGATTACAAGGAAACACTGAACATTCTTTCTGGGAGGCACTTTTACTGTGACACTTACACCAGTGAACTCTGATCCAGTAAGAAAGCACAAATGTCAGGCATCTGTGAACTATATTTGCTATCAGGGTGTTAACTTCCCTCCTGACAATAATCCTCTCTCACTGGGTGAAATGTGCATTCCTACATTTATCATGTGGCTTGCCAAGATTCTCTATGTCTGCATATTATTTCTCCAGCTACAAGATTCTTGATGGTGAATCTATGCTCTGAAGATAGTATCATTCTTTATAACTTTGTCATTCTATTAAAATTTTTATTCAATGGAGGTTAACAGACACTTTTATGGTTTGCTTTATAACTTATATTATACACTAGATCAGCTTGGAGTTTGACATGTTGAAATTCTATTTCTACTATTCACTAGCTTATAACCTTGGCTAAGCTCTTTAGTTTCTATGACACTCAGCTTTCTCAACTGTAAAGCTGGAAAACTATATATTATAGTTACTGTTTAAATTAGTGATATTGAATGTCAAGTATTTTATATATTGCTTATCATATACTTCACTTAACATGTGGCAGCTAGTAATATTATTTGCTTGCTTTTTTTGTTTTTGGTACCCAGGATCGAACTTGGGACCTTGAGCTTGCGTGCCAGATGCCGGAACCACTGAGCTAAATCCCTAGCCCAGCTAGTAATATTATTAAAATAATCATAATAATATAGTCCCAGAAGACAAATAACATATTTGAGAATGTGAGTTGTGGGCTGAGAAGAATTGGAACATTTTCTTTAATGGAGAATAGTCTTAATCAGGGAGATCTTTGGCTTTACAACTCTCAAAAGGCTGAGCTATTTTTCAGTAATTATTCTAGAGTATAAGTGCATTCTTGAGACTAATTTCAGATGTAGAATTTCATGACATCCAAGGTGAATTTTCTTGATATCCATGATTCAGAAAAAGAATGTTTTTCCTCAGGAGAAAAGAGCATTTCAATATCCCCTTCCTTTCATGGTGGAAAATTTTCTACCCCAAAGAGGAATATGTTTAAAATTTAGTATTGCTTGATACAGAAATTCAAGCTATATAGATATAGAAAACAATTATTCCACTGTCCACTGATTTTAACTTTTAACAATTCCATTAATATCCTTTCAATCCTTTCCTAAACATATGCAAACCTACATATAGGATATAAAAATTAAATTTATTGCAGGCATCAGATAATATGTCAAGACTATGTATATAATGCTCTTCCACATCCTTTATCTTTACTTAATAATATAAAATGGTCATCTCATTATATTAGTGAATATAAACATGTTTTATTTTTCTGAAATTGCTCCCAACTATTTTGTTTATATATTTTTTGGGTAATAAATGCCTACAGGTAGAATATACGTGCTAATTATTACATGCATTTAAATATTGTACATTACTGAAATGTTCCCCAAAGTAATTATCTTCTTTAAACTTCCACCAGTGGTGAATGAGATAACCTGTTTCCTCAGTGGAACTGACTTGAAATCAGACTTGTTTTCAGTGGTATCTATCAACTGAAATAATCAGCATGGTCAGAAAGAAAGTGCCAATAAAAAAAACACAAACACTTGAAAAAAAACCCAAACAACTTGAGTACTACAATAAGAGCCAGATGTGTATTAGGAACTAGATCATAGATGTCAATAGTCAGTCAACACATATTTGGTTTTTTTGGGTTTTTTTGGTACCGGGGAATTAAACTTGGGACCTTGTGCTTGCAAGGCAGGCACTAGAACCACTGAGCTAAATCCCCGCCCCATCAACACATATTTGGTGCCAGACTAAGAACCTGACTTTTGAGCCCAAATATGAAAAGCCAGGCTTGGTAAAGGTGAAATACTTGAATGTGGAAATAAGTAACATTATGCACATATATTAGCATTCATGATTTTCTGCAAAATGAAAAAGGAAATGAGTGTAGAGTTTGCAGCAACTTCTCCTGAGAAGACTTCTGGTAAACAGTTGGGTCCCTTCAACTTCCAGTGAGAGAGGTGGAGTATACGGCCTCCAATTGTGTGCTTTCATCTGCTTTTCAAATAATAAGGCATAAAGATTCAGGAACTATGGTTGGGTCATAACAACTCTCTCAAGACCACTCAAGACCTTACAAAATATGGTTTCCCCCCTTTTTGCCTTCTAGGTGATTGAGAACTTGTAGAAATAGTTCCCAAGAGACATGATTTCCTTCATTAGTAGGTATAGGAAAGAAGTTATTTTTCTGAGATAAGAAGGCTCATCATTCTGATTCTCTTAGAATGCTTATTCTCATCAATATAAATATTAGTGCCTTACATGTGTTGCATTAATGAGCTTATCCATCGAGGAATTAGGCAGCTTAAATAAATAAAGTGTAAGTCTGCAATAATATATGGTAAATCAAAGATGCATTTAAACAGCATAGGTGTTCCTTTAAATGGAAGTAGACTTAGAGAAAAACAGCATAAAATCTGAGTTAGTAGTTGGGAAATGTGGATTGTATTTCTTAACATGATTTCCATTCCAGAGTGCCCCACTGGGACCATTTGCCAATTTCATAACCCTCCTATGGTGGGTACACTATGAAGCTACTTCCTGATCATTAGTAGTAGATAGAGCAAGGAATTTTTACCAAGAAGAAGAGTGTTTTGCCTACAAAAACACATCAGTAATATTTCAAAGGCATATTAATTAATACAAATTTCTTTAAGCATATCTATTAAAAATTGCTACAATAGGCTGAGGGGCTCCAATCTGAAAATCTGAAGTCCAAAACACTCCAAAATCTAAGACTTTTTAGGTGCTACCATGACACCACAAGTGGAAAATTCCACCCTT